TGGAGGATTCAACAGCTCCTTTGTGCATGGACCCTGTTGTCAGGCTTATGTGGAGAGTTCGGCAACAGACCCATCCCGACCCGACCCAATTTCCTGACCCGGCCTTTTACAGATGGGTCATTTTCGACCACGGCCTCGGTCAGGTCAACCCGAACCTGGGTCGAGTGTTTATTTATACCCTATTTTTGCCAGCCAATCTGAGCAGATCGGCGGTTTCACCTGCCGATCTGCCTGGATCAGGAAATTCCAAAGCTCAGCGCTGATTCACCACTGAGGTTCTGCCGTGCGGGCCAATGTGCCTCATACTTCTATGAGCTTAATTTCTTATGTGGGCATCTTCTGACTCACTCCCCTACTTGCCCGTCATCACAGGACTGAGCGCAGAGTGCTCGTTGGTCAACAAAGGGATGGTTTCGCAGCACGAGGCATATGCCTTCCCATCCGGACGGGCCCCACACCTGCCGACCCTTGTTGTGGGTGCAATGTACCCAGTGCATCATCTCTGTTGGTGGCTGATACCTCAAGCCTTGGAACAGATTCCCCTGGTTATGCTAGCATTGGTCCAGTGGGAGAATGGTGGCTGACTCTCTCGCCAGTCCAAGGGCACCTTCCACCCCAAATGCACCGGTTCAAGAACAACTTTGCGACGCATAATTTCTTGTGAGATAGATGTGGCCATCATCATTAAATATCTACACCCAGTATTACCACAACTAGCCATGCAAATGAGAGATATCAATTCAATTCTTTGGATACTGACAGGGATTCAAGGCTGATCATGTTGCCGATGGTGGATGGAATAGACCCATTCACTTTGTTTTTCATTAGGTTCCTGAGGATGTACACACGCACAGAGTTCCATCCAAGGAATAAGAGGGATACAGCAAGTGGTTGGAGGGAGAGGAAAGTGGAAATGGAGTCTAAAAAGACCGTGAGAGTTGAACACGTAAACATAGCTTACACACACGCTCTAATAGGCGGTGTCGGAGGTAGGAAATGTTACGCTCAGATTTGAATGTCACTTGAGGTACCCGTTTTAATAGGTTGCCTCCAACTGTAAGCACACACATGTTTTCTGTACTACAGTTTTGGCTTTCTAACACGTTTTGTAAAGAGCAGACATCAGAAGAATGGATAACAGGAGATACCACAAGAGCCACTGTATTAAATGTTACACAAGCACACCAAGGCACCAGTGAAGCCTATAGTGCTAGTGAAGCAACAGTAAGCAGACAAATTTATGAGATTCTGTCAGGTCAGCCAGCAGCTCTGGCCAGAAAGGCGAGATTAGATTAGGGTTGACCGGTTTTGAGGGGCAGTCATTTTTCTTTTCTTTTCTTTTCTTTTATCCGAGACATGATTTGTGTATGATGGAACTATTAGACGCTATACCTGGTAAGATTGCGCCTTTCATCGTCACTGCCAGCTTGATTTCAAAGGTTCCCACTTTCATCATCCTCCCATGTATGGAATTACCATCCTCGCCCATGTAACTTAACGCCTGAATGTTGCAGGACCATATTTCGAGGCTAATGTGGAGATATCAGCCGCGAAAGAACCTGGTACCCACGAGGTTACCAATGTCAGTGGCGGGCTGGACAGCTGACATAACGACGCTGTCGGGAGAGATCTCCTGCTCCGCCAATGTTGGTCACCGCCGTGCACCGTCTACATCCCTAGCCCTGGAGTCAAAAGTGCACAGTGATTCAGCCATATGGCCCAAAGTGTATCTGGACAGAGGACATGGAGATCCTCCCAGTGTCACCGGCGGTCCTCCTTTGCTCGGTTGTCATACAGTGCTGTGAAAAGGTGTGTCTGGCTGCACGTAGAACGTAGGTCTGCCACTCAGGCTGACCCTACACCTGCCTGCCATTGCGGCAGCTGCAAACTCTGCAGTAGTGGCTGCCACTGCAGCAAATCCAGCCTTGGAGAATATTTTCCTGGTGATAGGGACATTGGTGCATAGGGGGAATGGCGCCGGAATCTCCCCACCACTTCAGATCCAAAGAATTTCACGCTCAATCTCCTGCCCACGTTTGGAAGATTCAGAATCTCTCTTGCCCATATACCTTGTCATTTGAACATTGCAGGGCCTAGTCACGAGGCTAATGTGCAAAGTTCGTCAGTCAACCCCCGGTACCCAAGAGGTCACCACTCTGATTTGCGGCCTGGACCGGTGACACATCACGTGGGCGGGAAAGATTTCCCTCGTATCCGCTGTGCCAATGTTGGTCACCACCATGCACCGTCTCCTTCCCCAGCCAGGGCTAAAGTGCACAGTGTGTCAGCCATGTGGGCAAAAGTGTACCTGATTAGCAGATTCTGAAATCCTCCTTGTCATCCCCTGCTCGGCTGTCATAACAGTGCTGAGAAAAGGTGTGTCTGGCAGCACGCGAAGCGTAGGTCTGCCAACCAGGACGGACCCCACACTTGCCGGCCGTTGCTGCACCTGCAAAATCGGCGGCATTGGCTGCCTCTGCAGAAAATCCAGCCTTGGCGAAGATTCCCCTGGTGATGGAGGCATCGGCGCAGAGGGGGAATGGCGTCAAACTCTCCCCATGACTTCAGGAGCACCTTCCACCCCCAATGGGTCTCGATTCAACCTTGTGCTGGTGCAGATGCTCCCTGCTCACACGAAGCTTCGTGTGGGACCATCGTGCGTTATGAACCACGGCAATGGACTTCCATTCTTCCTGCCACAGATCCGCCCACTCGACCCACTGCTGCCACCTCCGCCCTCCTAGGACACAGCCACCGCCACTGGTGCCATGCCAGCCTCCAGTAGTTGTGGACGAGCAGGATGAAGCTGTAGCGGAGAGGATGGAGCTTGTGGCTATCGCAGGCTCAGGAGGAGGCCGGCAGGTTCCTCATGAGCTCCCGCATGCTTGTGGAGCACAAGGTCAGTTGAGGGCGCTTTCTACTGGCGTTTCAAGGAGGTGCGAGTGCTGGCGGAGTTTCGCTGCAGTTGCATTATGCTGGGGGGATGGCTGCAACTCTGCTACTGTGGGGTTGGGGGAAACTTTGGTGGAGGCAATCCGGATGACAAGCTGGTATCATAGATGAGCCACAGGCCTAATTAGCTGCCCACTCATCTCATCGGCCAGCAGCTCGTTGTGCAATGGAACGACTAAGCTGGTCATAGGCCTATGCTCAAACCCACTATTTGTAGGAGCCTTGCATTTGTGAGTCATTTCCAACAGCTCCAAATGCTCATGGCCGAGCTTGGACCCTCTAGTCATGATGTAGTTCAAATTGAATGGCGTGGGACAGCGTGGTTGGGCCAGCCAGTTTGGAACACGTTCCAAACTGCCCTTTTTGCATGTACCGCTTGTTGATCTCAGCCTCGCAATTACTAGCCCGGCCTGTTGGGTCAGCTTGCTGCGGAAACATCATGTACAATGACTAGTTGTATCATGATCTGAGCCCACCAACTAGTCGTCTTGCTGCACATCTCTGGCAAACTTGCTGTAGAACCGACCTACCATAGCCCCCCCCCCCCCCCCCCCCCCCCCCAAGGCCCTGGGTTAGCGGGCTAGCTTGACCCAGCGCCAGCCCGTGGTCATGCCTAGCATGTATGCTCGTTCTCAAATCAAGTTTACTTGGTGTCGCCATCGCAGCCCTTCTAATTTCTGAACATGTGCGAAGTCACGTTGGCTCTCTTTCCTATTCCCTTCATGATACTCACAACGTCTTGAGGTTGCTCATGTCGCCGATGGTGGATGGAATAGACCCACTCAGAGAATTGTATTGAAGATACCTAATGATACACCATATAAAGGGTGTATGAGCGCAGAGGAACATTGGATACAGCAAGAAAACAATACCTCAATTTATGGACACATGAGGCGGATAAGATCAAACCATTGCTACAGAGCCCATGAAAAGGGTGCCATGAAAGTGTATAAAAAAAGAACTGAACTAAAATGTAGGAGAGGGATGAGTGAACATGACATGCTGATATGTGATTTGTGATACAAGCTACCTACTCTAAAAGGTGCCTGATTGTGAGCACAACACAAAGAAGCTGCTGAATTTTACCATCGACATTATTCCACAACGCTGCAAGAAACAATGGTGAATGATGTGCCGGGGTAGCCGAACGTTAGCATTTTGACACTAGATGTTTAATGGACAGATTGACCAACCCTCTATATTATTGTCAATGTCCACAAAAATGAACTCTGGAGGCTCAGTTAGGGGGCCTCATAACCTTGCCCATGTGTCTCACCGCCTGGACATTTCGGGACCATATAGTGAGGCTAATGTGGAGAGATTCACAGCAAATCCTGCTCACCACTGTGAGTGGCGAGATGGACCGGCTCAAAACAGTGACAGGTCGCTGTGGGCACACAGGAGGAATGACTGCATTCTCTCTCCGCCAGTTCAGGGGCACCTTCCATCCCCAGTGGATCTCAATTCACATTCGCGGAGGTCAGTTAGGGATCTCTTTCTGGATTCCTTGCCGATACTCACAATGTTTTGAGGCTGCTCGTTTTGCCGATGGTGGATGGAATAGACCCACTCAAAGCATTGTAGCTGAGATCTCTGATGGTAAAGCGAGCGAAGTATATTATGGGTGGAAATAAATGAAGACAACTTGCGCCTTATCGCAAACATGCAAATGTGTACACATTCAGAAGCAGGAGAAAAGGATATAGAGTATACAATGTTTGTGTTGGTGGAAAGGCACAGCAGGATACAACTGTGACCTGAAACTAAGTTGCGGAAGACGCGTCCGTCTAGACGCAGCGTCTAAGACGAAAACCCGGGCAGGCCTAAAAAAAAGTTCGGGCAGACCAAAAAAAGTACCAAGGGGCATGGGGAGGGTGGGGAACATGCACCTATGTCACAATGGGGTGAATTTTTCCCTGTACCATAATTTTTCCCCCATTCTTAGACTTCACAAAAATGATCATCTTATGTAGTTAACCTTCCATGTCTCTCTAGTAGTAGCAAACTTGAAAAACTTTACTACTACTACATATCTGAGCAATCACTTCCTAACTCTCCTCCTCCTCATCCTCCTCCTCCTCCTCCTCTTCCTCCTCTTCCTCCCCTTCCTTCTCCAGCTCCTCCTGCTCCGCCCACTCATCGAGGCACACGTCGTCCTCGTCCGCCTCCACCTCCCCATCCTCCTCCAACTTGTACCCCTCGGGGATGGGAGGGGGGGGGGGATGTTTCCCTCCACCACTGCACCCTTCCTCCCCACCACGCTAGGCCCCGCTTCCGCATCCTTGTGGAACTTGTGCGCAACATTCCAGTTGTGCGCAATGTACACAAGGTTGCGCACTTTCGCCAACCCAAGCCTGTTACTGCGCGCCGTGTGCACGCCATCCCATGTAGACCAGCCCCGCTCGCACGGGGAAGCGGAAATGGCCTGGGACAGCGTGCGCCGCGCAATGCGCGCCAGGACGGCGTACTCCCATCCATTGTACTGCCACCACAACATCACGTTCCCCTTCCCCAGCTGAATCTCCCCACGCCCATCGATCACGGTCTGTGTGCCGAATCCTCCTTCGCCGTTGATGTAGGCCGTCACCCCCTCATGCAGCGGCCTCACCGGTCCCTTCTTGCCGCGGTACTTCTTCCAGTACTTGTCGACGAACGCCTTCTGTCGCTCCAGCCACTCCTGCATGACCTTGGTGCACTCCGCATCCTGCAGGAAGATTCCCTCCTCCTGGTTCGCCGGGTACAAGATCCGGCCTGCCACGTGGAGGGGGCAAGCCAAGCTCTCGTCCCAACGCCTCCTCAAATGCTCCCGCACCTTCTCCTTATCCGCCGACTTCAGCTTGCACTCCCTCCCCTCCAGCAGCTTATCCAACTCCTCTGTCAGCTGCAGCATGATGTCGTACAGCTGGCCCATCATCCCCTTCGCCTCTGAATCCGTCCGCCGCATCACATTGTAGAACAGCTCCATCACCTGCAGGTTGACGTCCACCTTCTTCCACCTCCCCTGGTCCATCACCCACCCGTCAAAATCCGCTCCTGTAACCGTGCTCCCCCCCCTCTCCGGCCAATCCTTGTGCGTCACCATCGCCGTAAGCTACTGGCGAACGTCGCGCACACGAGACACTGCGAGAAACTGCGTTCCGAAGCGCGTGCCTGCCGGGCGCAACACCGGCAGCGATTTCTTCTCGCCGTGCAGCTCCCGGCCGCGCAGGAAGGCGCGCATGCACTGGTGTCCCCGCACGAAAGAGATCATGTTGTCAGCCTGGGTCACGACCACCTGCGCCCACTCCATCTTGCCCACTTCCTCCATCAGCAGGTCCAGCACGTGCGTCGCGCAGGGAACGATTTCGAGATGCGGCCACTCCTTCCGCAGCAGCTTTCCAGCCTTCTTGTAGTTGCTGCCGCCGTCCGTGCACAGCGCCACGACATGCTCCGCCCCGATGCGCTCGATGATCGGCCGCAGTACGCTGGCGATGAACTTGCCACTCTTCGTCACCGCCTTGCAGTCGACCGCCTCAACGAAGACCGCTCCAGTTGCGGAGATCACTACTACAACGGGAGCTAGACTACGGGCTAAGCACGGGTGCTCGTGTGATCTAGTGCACACACAGCTTGCTAGTTCACGGGGAGAATTGGCAAGAGTTTCACTAGAGAAAGTTGACAACAATGGTACAATGAAGTTGGCATAGCAATACTACATCAGAGCTAGCATTCAGGTCGGTCGACTGCCAGCGCAGCATGGTCGACCGCGTTCCAGCAGTGCAAAGTCGACGGCGTGCCAACGTCGCAGGTTGACGGCGTGCCAGCGCTGCTCACGCAGAACAGCAGCACACCCGCTTCGCAGGTGCTCGCAGATGATTGGCGGGTTGAGCCTCGTCACCTGCACAACACACACACCAAGTCAACCTGGCGCTGATGACTGCTTCTGATCAGCCACGTCGACCTCGGGATACCACCACCGAGGTCGGGCTCGCCAACTTTGCCTGGGCGACCGTCGCACTCCTCCGCAAAACCTCGTCACCCAGGTAACTTGGTCGACCGGGCAACCACGTCGACCAGCTGCTCCCGTACGTGCCCGTCGACCTCCCAAGTCGACGGCCACCTCCAAGTCGACCTCACCACGTCGACCACGCCCCTGGTTGACCAGCTCCAGGTTGACGTCACTTCTGGTCGACCAGCCCTCGTCGACCAGAAATCCTGGTCGACCAACTTCATATCGACTAGCGCAGTTGTCGGCCGACCACCCAAGTCGGCTACCCGAAGTCGGCGTCACGAAGTTGACGCCCAGCTACTCGACGCCCAACTGCTCGGCGTCCTGAGTCGAGGTCGACGTCGGCCCCTCCTTCGTCGACCACCAGGCCAGGTCGACCACCAGCAGGTTAACCAGCAGGCCTGGTCGACCAACCACCAGGTCGACCAGCAGTCCGTCAGCCGACCACCGAAGTCGGCTTCCCCCAAGTTGACGTCACCAAGTTGACATCCTCCGCAGGTCGACTTCCCAAGTCAACCTCCCTGAAGTCGGCGCCACCCTAAAGTCCGCGCCACCCTGAAGTCGGCGCCCGTACAGTGGTCTCCGTGCAGGTCGACCTCCTCGTTAACCAGCTCGCCCATTGCCACAGGTCGGCTGCTCCCCTCACACCCGACCACGAAGTCGGCTCCGCCCAAGCGAGGACGGGGCTGATACAAAACTCCTGTTGACACCAGTGTCGTTGATGCACATGATGTTCATCTGCGCGCGGCCGCTCTTGTCCTGCATCATGTCGCTGGCGATTGTCACGCCCGTCTCCGTCCACGACTTCGTTACCGGCGACAACGCCTTCTCAATCCGCTACTTGCACTCAAGCAGGCCGGCGCCTCCGACGTAGTGACGCGTGGGGGGGACGTAGTTTGGGCCGGCAGCGGTGACAGCTCGCAGCATGTTGAGGAAGAGCGGGTGCTCGCACAGAGACTCCGGCGTGCGCGTCTCAGCGAGGTAGAGGACAATCGCCTCGTTGACCGCCCGCCTTGCTGCTTGTCCATCCTCGCCGTAAAATTCATCCATACGACCGCGCTTCGCCTTCCCTTTCGCCTCGCTCTTGCTGCTCACCGCCGCGACCGCCGCAGTCGTCGCTCGCGCCTTTTGGTTGCGCGCCCGAATCTTCGCCTCGAACATTTCGCGAATCTCCGCGGAAATCTCCGTATGCACATCCTTGCAAACAACTCCCGCCTCGCGGCGACGGTGCGGGTCGTACGAGATTCTCGGGAGCGCGGCTACTACTAAAAGAAAACTTCTTGTGGCAAAAAAGACACTCAACTTGCTCGCCCTTCTTCTTCGGATCCATAAAGAAATAATAGTGCTTGTAGATCGGGTGCTCGGGATGCTTAGACTTCTTCTCAACCCCCTCCATTTCCTGAGAAACACGAGCGGATACACCCTCGCCGACGGCATTCTCGCTCGCGGAGGAGGAACTACTAGACGAAGGGCTACTACTAGAGGACATGGTTGCGCGCGCGGTGGAAAGAGCTAAACCCTAAGGGTTTTCGAAAGAGATTTGAAAGAAATGAAGGTTGGGAAGCACAAATGAGGGATTTGTGCTCCCCAACCTCTTTGTGGTTAACCATAGAGGTTGGGTTCTATAGATAATGAGTGGTGAAGAGTGGTTTGTATTCAATTGTGGTGGGGGAGGCTTCAAATTTGCATGCGGGGCTGGTTTTGGGGTCGAAATGGGTGGGAAGGGGTTTGAAAAGCGCGAAATTGAATTTCGCGTCGAAATGGCGAAATTCAATTTCGTGCGCGGAATATTTTTTTTCGGGCTGCCCGAAGTTTTTTTAGCCATGCGTCTTCCGCAACTTAGACCTGAAACAGCTGTGCATGCACAGTGCTTTAAACAGTATACTCCATCGCATAATGTCTTCACTGTCTGTTTTTGAACAAATTGATTTTGTGAAGGAAAGTCTGTAGGCCAGCAGCGTTGGCAAGACATTTTGTTTTTTTTTTCTGTAGCGAAAAGGAGAGTTCAGGGATGGCTCAGATTTGACCAACGATGATGGCAGCTTGAGAATGGTCGGTCTGATGACTTTGTTTGGGTATGATCAAACTAATGGCAGCCTATATATCGTGGCTTTGGGTCTTTTCCCTTTGCTACGAGCTTGATTTCATAGAATTTCACTCTCATTTGAACATGAGGAACAGCCAGAACCTCCCTTTCCCATGTATCTTGTCGCTTGGACATTGCAAGACCCTATCATGAGGCTAATGTGCAGAGGTAGGCGGCAGACCCCAGTACCAAGTAGATGGTTGTGAATGTCCTGCATTCTGTGCATTTTCTTTTCCAGAAAGAGAAAGCAAAGACCGACTAAGAGAACATTGACGCATTATAGATGCAAAAAATGGACTACCCATGCTCGCATCCCAGTGCGTCTTCTCTCCCTACACGCGCAACTTAAGGCCGTGCTCAGTATGTGGCAAACTCTTAGGGGACTCCTAAAGAGGGAAATTGAAGACCAATTTATGAACACATTGACGCATCAAATACGCAGAAGATGGACTGCTCATGCTCGCAATCCAATGCGTCTCTCCCCTCGCATACAACTTCAGGCTGTGCTCAAGTATGTGGGAAACCTTTAGGGGACAGGGAAATTGAAGACCAATTTAAGAGCACATTGACTCATCAAAGACGCAAAAGATGGGCTACTCATGCTTGAGATTTATGCCTTTCACTACAACATGACCAAGGGCAGGTTCCCTTGTGACTTGTGCCAAACTGGTTTATCAGGTGGCCTGTTTTTCACCGGCCAGCCCGCACTACTTAAACTGTTCTAATGTCAAACTGCTGCTTGAACAGTTTTGGTCCTCAGTGAGAAGGTATATGCCTGGAAAACCAGGCTGCTTCAATCCCGTGGCAGGCTCTCTCTTACCCATACGAGAAACTGGAAGCAAATCCTTACCTGAAATGCAAGATTCATCCGAAGCAGTAAAATACCAAAACCCTGTAAGCAATGCCTGCTTGTCTTCAATGGACGAGCCACGAGCTTGGTCAGCTGCCCGACTGGCTCGTCAGTGCACCGGCTCATGGCAACTTGAACCAAGCCAGCTTGTCTTAGACCTATGCTCATGCCTAGTGTTGACGAAAGAGGGGTGTTGGCCCCGCCCTTGCTTGGGCAACGCGGACGACTTGGTCCGATGTACAGGAGAAACAGCCGACCGCTCACAATGGGAGAGCAGACGACTTCGTCGAGCTGCAGGGGACCGCTGTGGTGCTGCTGTCGACCAGGGAGCTCGACAGCTGCAGCTGACTGGGCTGGGCGACGGGTGGGCCGTCGACCAGGAGGGGCAGTTCGACCGGGAGGCCGACGGAGCTGTCCGTCGACCTGACAAGTGAGCAGTGGTCGACGAGGGAAGCTCGGCGTCAACCGCTGACAATTCTGGTCGACAGAAGGGGTCCGTCGACCAGGGGGTAGCTTGACACGAGCTGTGGTCAACCAGAGGCACCTAGTGGTCGACCAGAGGCACCTGGTGGTCGACCAGAGGCACCTGGTGATTGACCGGAGGCACCTGGTGGTCGACCAGAGCAGTTGGTGGTCGACCAGGTCGACCAGGTAACCTACTCGACGAGTTCTGGGGAGGCATGCGAACGTCGTCGAGATCGCGATGGCGAAGGAGACTTCGGGCTGGTAACCCGAAGTCGATGTGGCTCGTCAGGCGCAGGCAACAGACGAAGGATGCACAACGAGGCGAGTCAGGCGCACCTGCGAGCGTACGCACTGCTGTCTTCTACGGGGCAACGCTAGACAGCCGCCCTGCTGCAGCGATGGTACGTCGTTGACCTGCAATGTTGGCAGGTCACCTTTCGGCAGTGCAAGCACGGCTCCTCTACGCAACGCTGGCTGGCGGTCGACCAGGCTAGCTGCAGAGTTGCTAGGTGCCAGCCGACCGCTCATTTTTGTCATTGCTTGTTGAACCAATTCTGTAATTTTTACTTTGTTTGTGGAAACTCTTGCCGATTTCTCCCGTGAATGTGCAAGCGCTAAGGAACTAAGCAAAGCTATGATCACTCCTAGTAATTCGTGCCAACCCCCGTAGTCTAGCTCACTACTGTTGTAGAGTGACTCTCCGCACCTCGTTTTTCATGCCTTCCCTAAAAACATTTCTCATGGTGGAAAATGCTGATAGTGGCAAACTTGATCCCTTCTTCATGAGGCTCCTACGGATTATGGCAGACCAAGCTCGGTTCAACTCAAACAAACGAGCCATGGCTATCAAAGCGAGGATAACGCCCAGCGTAAACCCTCTCAATACCATCTCGATAATGTCTAGCCATGTAGGCATAAACCATACTGGCCTAGTTTCAGCTCTTGCTCTCGTTAGTTTTGAAACTAATATGGCTCGTATATACTTCCTACCATACGCTGTGATGGGCCTCAATAAAAGTGGGGCTTGGGTCAAAAGCGGGCCAAAACGGCCCGACCAGGGCCGCACCTCGAGACGGGCCGGCCCAGTCCGCCCCTAAACGGGCAGGCCAAAAGTAAGCGTCTGGCCCGACCCGACCCGATTTTGCCTGGCCAAGCAGGTTTCTGGGTCGGGTCGGGTTGGGGCAGCCCCGGACCAGGATGTTGTATACTCTGACCCGACCTGGGGTATAGGGCCGGGTCTTTCCTGGCCCAACATCGGGTCGGGCCGACCCCGGGTCGGCTCGGGTCAGGAAACCGCTCTCGCCTGCGCTCTGTGCAGATCTGCTATTTTGCCCGTCGATCTGTGCAGATCAGAAATTTTGCCTGTCGATCTGCGCAAATCGACGAATTCATTGCGATATCTGTGAACATCGAAATTTTGCCTGTAGGTTTCTCAGCCTAGGCACACGTTTCGAACATATGTGTTGGAACAAAAATTCCCAACCAATTCGTCACTGCTCACCACCTTTTACCGCACTGATTCTACAAATCCCAAACCCCTCCACTCCCACTCTATAGAGATCTCTCGACATTCATCCTCTGGACATTGCCGACTAGTACTTGCCTAGAACCTATGATTTATGGGCTGACGGCTAGTTAGGTTGCGGGACTGATGTTGAATGAGAAAATGTCCCCTCGACATCGGCTTTAGGGGTTTGCCAAGTGTCGAAATCAAGTCGGGTCAAAGCCCGACCTGGTTACCCTGTTTTTTACCCAATTCCGGGTGTCGGGTCAAAGTCGACCTAAGGCTCGAACCGACCCGACCCGAAATTCAACATCGGGTCCGGTTTTTGCCCGAGCCGGACAGACCTGACCCGGCTGGGCCAGGACATTGGAAGTCCTGAGTTGACCTGCAAAAAACCTGGGTTGGTTCGGGGCCTTTCGCTCATGCCTAGCCAAAATCGGGCCACCGATGGCCCAGACCACGACTGCCCGGCCCGCCTTGGGCCGACAGCCCAATTTAGACTTTCGGCCCAGGGCAGTTTCAGGGCAGGGCCGACCCGGCAGGGTCCAGCCCGCCCCCGTGCTCAACCCTACTGTACAGTACAGCACCACACTTACTTGTCATAGAATACAGGGGTGTAAAATTAACCAGAACCACATCTACTGAGGTTTCAGTTCAAAGGTTGGTGGCTCTGCTAGATGTTGGGAAAATTCTGGCTGCCTTTCGCTTGCCTAGTCTGCTTTTCAGGTTAAGAGGACCTGATGTAGCAGTCATGGCACGAAGAGAACGAGTTGTTAGCCTTCAGCAGAGTCGAGCGTCTGTGCCGAAGGGGTAGACGTATGCGCAGGCATTTATTGAAGTGGGTTGGACACGGAAGGAGGTAAAACCAGTTAGGAAGGATGTCATGGAAACTGTTCTTTCTCCTAACCATTTTCACCCTACGAAAGTTTCCACTAAAAACTCTCGTAGGTAGGTTCACCATAACCTGGCAGGGACATCATTCTTCTCGTGACAAGCTATTCTCGTGACAAGGCATGTTCACCACCTGCTCATCACGGGTTGGTCGCATTTATGCCGGCCGATCTTCGTGCTCATCTCTGCATATGGGCATCTCTCCATGCTCACAGTCATGTGTGCATGCTCCCACTCATACTCACAGATCGGTCATCCTGTTCAAGGCACTGATGGAATCTGGAATGGATCCGGTTAATTGTCCGTAACGTAGCCTACTGGTGGGCAGTGGAATGAAATGGGTGGGGAACATGATAATTTTGTTA